TCACAAACATTCTCCAAGATATAGATATAGAAGCTGTTAGTTTCACAGCAAAATGAGAAGTTTTGCTTGGCCAGAAGTGCTACACAACTTAGATTTCTGCTTCTGCAAATGACAAAGAGTCACACGAATGATGTTTTCTTCCAGTTTCTGCTTTCAAGCAAACTTCCATAAAACATGCTCCAGTTTGGTCAACATGAGTAACCATGGAGGAAAACAACAGCACCTCTGCATTCAGAGCTAAGGGATAGGCCTGGGCACCCTTCAGAAGGAGGTTTACACAGATTTGTTAGTAGGGGTTGTGAAAGAGGAATGATTTTTCCCCTGAGAATTCTGCTAGACTGAATGAGAGGAGAATGGCTTTCAGTAAGCTAATCTGGTTCATGCACCATTGTGCTCATCCCTTCATATGGAAGCTGGTTTATGACACAGCAAATAAATAGTAGGGCGAGTCTGCTACTAATGACACTGTACCCTTTAAAGAGAAAAGTTGCTGAGGTTATTCATGGCAATATTAAAGCATTATCTGTCGAGACATAAAGGTGAATCAACTAAACGTATTGCATTTAGTAAAAAGGTATTTCTCCCTATAACATCTCCTCTTGACGGAGCCAGTTGGAAATCTTCCAACTAAACAGATCTGTTTTGCAAATACTTTGTGAAAACACCACTCATTCACCAAATTTCCTGTGACCTCCCAGTGGCCGTGGCACTCAAGCTATGGGTCCACAGCACCAGGGCAGCTTTACCTCTCCTTCACCCAGTGTCCTCCTGCTTTGTTCCCATGTTCCCCTGCTCACCCTCAGTGTCTCCAGTGAAGGGATGTGCCATGGCCACGCACCAAATTCAAGCAGCTTGGCTTATGGTACAGAAATGTTGCTCTGGAGCCAGGGAGGTGAGCTCTGGGCATCTATCAAAAAGCACTGGAGCACTGCATCCCTGGCCACTTTGCTGGGAAATGACATGAGGGTTGCCAATGGCCACCTGCCACAACCCTGCTGGTCGGGAAAGATGCTGATAGGCAGGGTGCCAAGCTCTGGTGGAACTCGCTTGAGATACCTGGGAGTGTATTTTGGAATGGAGAGGTCAGGTGGTTAATCAAGTGGAAACACGATGATGGTATGCTGAGGGAATGGCAGGGAGAGGCAGACACGTCTCCAAAGGATGTGAAAATGCAGGCATTTAGCATATTGCGCAGGGGGAAGGGTTGGCGAGTCTGGGATCCTGGGAGGCCATGTATCTGTCTTGGATGAGAGCTGCCTTGCGCATGCTTCTGGCTCTGCTAACCCGTGGCCTGCTGAGCTGATTCAAAGTGGAAATATTAGGAATTGGGGCAGGATGCAGTCATAGGAAGAACAAAGCTGCCTTAATTCCCCACGCTTAAACACCGCCCTTGACTTTACCACTGCGTTTGCCTTGTTCATGAGAACCCTGATAAACTCAGGCTGTTTTTAGTAGAGCAAGATTACGATAGCAAAGACCTTGAAATGTCTCCTCAACAAAGCACAGTGCACCTGGAGGAAGACAAAAGGCTGGCCTGTAACAAAATAATCTCTACATCGTTAAGTTTCTTGCTAATTCAAAAAGCTGATCTCGACACGATCTCTGTTACTTTGCCATTGGTGCTGGTTCTGCTGCTTTGGTTAAAGATCTGTCAGCAGTTTTATTACAGACTCTTGTTTCCAGGGATTTCAGTCTTGCTCATAAAAACACAGTCCCAGCTGAAACTTAACATATAAGGTTACAAAACGTAAAAAAAAAGTGAGCGAGAAAGCTCAGATATTTTTAGGGCTATAAAAGCATAAACAGAAACAGAAGCATACAGCTTAAAGTGATTACAGTGATTGTTTTCCCCAGACAGGAAAAATAGCTTTATTCTATCTATTTTTCCAACTCGCAGGTAATTAATAAGTCACTGGTTGGAAGCATTCATTGGGATAATGTGAAAATAAAAATAGTTGAAGTAATTTAATTGCAGACATTTTAGGATGATATTCCTAACCTCCTAATTTGCTTAGACTATTTATTGCTCTGTGTTATTGCCTCAGAAGAATACCTTCCAAGGTTGATGACTTACAGATATAAAACATTTCTATTGGCCCTTAAAAAAAAAATCAGACTACAAAGGAACCATATGAATTCATATTTTTAAAATCCCTGTATTATGGATCTACCTACTCCAGTTAACCTTACCCACTATTAAATTTCTAATTACATATTTAATGTCTGGTTCAAACCAGGTATTAGAAGAAACTCAGCCACAATACATATAAAGATTTACATTTACTGCATGTGTAAATTCCAATGCTCTGCAGGGTTTTGCCTAAACTTTCATAAAGGTGTATAAATAACGTTTGGACGCTGTGTTGAGGGATATGGGTTAGTGAGAACTATCGGTGACAGGTAGATGGTTGGAAAGGATGATCTTGTAGGTCTTTTTCCAACCTTGGTATTTCTGTGATACTGTGATTCTGCGAAATAGCAACGCAACCCAGCTCACATAGCTCTATTTTCTCTTTCTCCGTGCAAAGGAAGGGGTGAGTTAAGGATGAAGTGTTAGCTGCTGTCTGAGCTCTAACTGCATTTCCTTACGCTGTGAGCTGGGTCAAAGCCTTTGACACGATACGCTCAGTACTTGCACAAAGTAACCTTTCAACTTAAAACATGTGTGATGTGGTGGAAGCCTTCTCTCGCCTTTTGTTCCCCTCTTGTCTGTGAATTGGTTATGGTTAGAAGTTTTAAATGAACAGGTGTAGTCGCTCGCCCCTTGTGATATGAAAGAAGCATAAAACTCGATTATAGCAATTTATGGTCTCTTAACTTGCTAGGACTTGTATCCATGACACAAGCAGCTTTATGCTCAGATTCAAGACTGGTAAAATAGGAAGTTAAAATTAACCTCAATCCTTTTATAGACGAAAACCTCAACAAATAAACAGTGGTTTAGTGGCATGGCAACCTGCCCCTTTAAATCCAAGAACTATTCTGAGATGTCTATTTTGAGTTAGTTTTGTTTTTTTTTTTTTGAAAAAGATAATTGGGCCTGGATGAAGAGAGGAGTAGCCTATGATTCATAAAGGTGTGAGTTAAAGCACGATGTGATGCTGCTACATTGCTACTAGCAATGTATGGTCTTTTTTTGCCTTCTGCCCACATAAAAAGCCCCCTGTGCTCTCAAGGGTCAGAAGCATGTCATTTTGAGGACCCCTTTCTGAAACATAAAAAAAATACAAATGGAAACACCCCAGCTCTCTAGATATCCCCCAGCAGACCAACCTGACAGCCAGCCCTGCTTTGAGCACTGACAAATATACCAGTGGTGATGCACCTTATCACAACCCAGCCTTTTTGCCCTTCCACGACAGAGGGGCAAAGATGAGCCCCGCCAGCCAAAAGGTGCCCACAGCAGGAGCCCAGCATCATAGAGGATTCAGACTTCAGTTTATCTCACCAGCAAATACTGCAACTTCAACAAGTTGCTCAAGAGGTCCTAGCATAACTTGCAATTGTGGACATAGAGACTAGGGGGAACTCAGAGGAGGCTTTGGAGGAGGGCACCAATGAGAAACACTACTAGCTCAACTGCTGCTGCCTTCAGAGCTACATCTGCAGGCGAAACGTATTAAAACCATGTTCATGGAGAGCAAAGTAGAGCAACATACTAAATGTATTTCTGGAGAGAGCAGCTGAGTCCCCAGAAAGGCGAGAAGCCGTCCCAGTGAGGGACCTCCACACAGAACAAGGGAAGGGGGATAAGTGTGGCTGAACCTGATACTCTGCTAAGCATATAGAGTTCCCAAGAAGCCAAGGAATGCACGTCTGTGACTGATACCTCCACACACAGAGCTGCAGGCTGCTGAGCAGCCACAGCAGCACAGGCATTAGCTTTTGCAGGAGCTGAGCTGTGCACAGAAGCCCACAGCATGGCCTGCTCTACAGCTCAGAATGGCAAAGGAGGTGGGATTTGTGGGTTGGCAAGTTGCAGGATTAGATCCAGGGAGGGAAGGTGCTTTGTGGTCCTTCTGTGTTTTTTTTTCCCCTGCCTTTTACAACACAATGTATACTTCTCAAAAATATCCACTTCTGCTCCCTGTGAAGTCAACAGCAGGCTTGCAACAGAGGTCAGTGGGTCTAAGACCTCCCTAGAGGCAGCAAGCATTATATTCTATAAGCAATAACCTTTTCTGTATGCACAAAAGTAAACCTTCACTTTAAAAATAAATACCAGAAAAAGAACCCATTGAAGAAATCTCTTTCCCCAGAGCATCAGCAGAGAACCTCAACTATGACCATTTCATTCTGGGCAGAAGAGCAGAGGAAAACCACACTGAAAACAGCTCTCACTGTAACATGTACCACTCTGCATCCTTCCTTTGGGGGCATCTCAGTATGAATCTGCACCTCGATATGCAGTTTGCAAGTTATGTTATCAGTTGAGTGTAGTGATCTGATTCTTTGCTTACTACTTGCAACAGATTTTGGTGGCAGATTTGATCTTAGCAGTGACAGACTCAGATCCAGCAGAGGCAAATGAGGTTTCCTACTGGATTGCTTGGTTTCACTGGCATATGTGTGAACCTCCATCTCAGAGGAAATTGGACTCCAGAGTCATTATTTTGTAAGTTTTCTATCAAATACAACCCAATGGATAACCACTAGCCCCAGAAATAAGTTCAAACCAGCCCTCTCAATTCAGATCTTGGCTCTAAGGTCCTTTGCCTAAAGCTCTCTTTGCAACTGCCTCCCATGAAGGGCCAAATCAAGGCCTTGACAGCACTTTTGTTTCATTCAAGCACACAATTAATTGATAGCTACCCATCAAGTAATACCTATAAATATGAAAAAAGCCTGCCATAATGTACCTTTGCAAGAAAACAAAGACTTGCAAGGCTTCCACACATCTCAGGACAGCCAAAAAAGACAGATGGGAGCATCTGAGCCCAGGAGCTCTCAGAGGGGCTGGGTGGGTGCTGGGCGAGCAGGGGAGGATTTTGGGTACTTACCCTGAATCTGACTCTGAGGCTGAGGGTTAAAAGCAGTGGTGTGGTTCAAGGAGGCTCGTGGGTTGGGTGTGGGGGCTGGGTGGTGTGGGCTGACCCTCATGGCCGTACGACGCAACTGCTCCAGTTCACTCAGGCGCTCTGAAAAGGACAAGCTCCCGGGCTTTGTCTGCTCATCTAGTTTCTGACGATGTCCTATTGTGGGAGGGGGGGGAAAAAGATCAGAAAATCTCACTGGTACATGAGGTCTGTTGACTTTTAATTTTAATTTTTAAACCCCTCATCCACTGGCGAAGTATCTAACCAGCTAGTGGCTATCCGAAGTTATAGTGAGAACACTTCTCTGCAAGGACAGGAGAAACAAACCATGCATTGAAACCATATCGTGGGGCAGCCAAAGACATGGTGTACTCTGAAGAACCAGGCCCACTGAAAACAGCAGTGCCTCCTTACTACAGCTCACTCTGGGAGAGGAGGCTTTTATAGAAGAAGTAATGTCTGACAGGGTGAATAACAGGAGGAAACTTGTGGCGGTCCCTGTACTAACCCCGCATCAGAGTAACTCATCTGAAATTCAACCCCAGACTGTCACAAAGTACTGTGCTCAGTACTGTGGGGCCGTAAAATAACAAACCCAAATAAATCTCATTTTTGGACCCTTTAGCAATTGCTTTCCAGACAGAAATAGGCAAGAAACACCAGAAGCTGGCAGAAGCAGAACTGCAGCTGCAAGGTCATGAAGTCTCTCTTAGTAGTACTAGGAGTTACCAAGACATGAGGTCCAACCAGACATCCAACTATATGAAAGCAGACCCTAACATGGCGACATAGGATGAAGCACAGCGGCATCGGCCTTGGCCAGGTGGGAGCAACAGGGTCCAGGACCTGGCCGAGGCAGGCCTTGGAATGCTGTCCTCATGGTACTCTGGTGCTGTGGCCTCACAGGGCTGCCAGGGGACAGGAAAGGAGTTGGAAAGGCCTTGCTCCAGCATGGCATTGGGGTACATCCAGGTTCATCCAGAAGGGCAGAAACCTGTCCTGCCACAGGGACCCTCAGTGTAATGCTGCCACAAAACGTCATGTTGCTCAGTAGCAATGTGCACAGCATACATAAAGGATACTTCACCTACTGCAGCACTTGCTTTCTGGTAGGCATGATGAAAACACAAATTTTCTATCCTTGTTTGCACCCTCTTAGCAGTTAACCTATCACCTTTTTCTTCTTACAGTTCAAGGAAACAACCTCTTAGCAGAAAGACCAAAATAGGACTGTCTCTGAAACACAAATTGTCCTGTCAAAGATGGTCTTTGTAATGGAGGACAAGATACTGACTGCAGAGGCACTATGAGAAACTCCAACCCCATCTGTATTCAGTCAGTGGATTAGGATCTCCAACTCCAAAGAGGGCACCTTCTGCTTTGTACCTTCACGTGGATCAACCCTCTTTTTCCCTCAGTCTCAAATCTGCACTTTGCATTTGTCTCAAGAAATCAAGAAATCAAGAAATCAGCTGCCTTGTGAATCTTTGCTTATTCCTTCCCTTTCCTTTCGACGTGAAAGCACATTGTTGTCCTGATGTGAATGTATCTCACATATTTAGCACAGGGGTCAATCAATGGACATCTTTAGTTCTACTTGCTCCATTGAAGAAGGTGGTGTTATCCACAGTTTCTGCCAAATAACACAGTTTGCTGCCTGTCTGCTCCTGATTTTCATTGTCTTGCAATAAAAAGTTGCCTTTGGCAGCTCTCTGGGCATCTCCACCTCCTTTGCCTCTCCACCTCCTGCGCTCCTTTGGCAAGTCCCCCCCGTGCTCAAGGCATCAGCAGTGAAATGGACTGATACAAAACTCCTCCAAATAATCCACACATTCCCATAATATTTAATATCTAAACATTTATAAACACCCAGCTTCCAATTTCGCATATCGGTGAATAAGCAACAAAAAGCTCTGTATGTCCCTTACTCTACAGAGCACTCTTTCATGCCACCCTAACAGCGTAATCAAGACACAAGACCATTTTATGCATGAAGGGGAAAATGTACATTCAGAAGCAGTTCCCAGTAGCTGCATTTCCAAAATTAAATTTTATAACTTGTATTATGGTTCCAAATCTCAGTGGCTCGGCGTTTCTTCCTGTTGCCAGGCCCTCTGGCACAGCATGAACTGTCTCAGATTCCACACTGTGCTATAAATTATCCCAAGAGGGGAAAAAAAATTAAAATATAAAAAGACATATTATATAGCAGAGGTTTCACTGTTAAAGAGACCCATTAGGGCTTCCAAAAAGAAAAAAGGAAGTGGTGCAGGGGGGAGAAAGATGAAAAAGACTTCTATCTGACATTCTGGTGGGCCAAGAGCAAGTGCTTTGGTTGTCAGCAGCACGGAGCTGGATGCTGCTCCTGACACAGGACTTGAACACCAGCACATGGAGTCATACAAGATGTGTAAAATACCTCATGCATTTGGATTAGCTTAAGCTTCAGCAGTTTGACCTGAGTCTTACAGAGCCAAGATTTAGACCCTTCCAAATTCATATCCCCAGTGTAATTTACTCCTCATTTTGAATTCAATTCAGCCATTTTCTGCTGTTAAGTCAGCAGCTTGACCTCCTCGTATCCTGCTTTCTTCTCTCCTGGCCAGGCTGCTGCAGCTCTCACCACGGCCCCAAGCTATCCCAAAGCCCAGCAGCCTCATGCACAGGCAAGCAGGTCCTACAGGCTACGTTGAGGCCAACCAGGTAGCAATCAGCCTTCCCCTCTGATGCACTGCATTTGTGTCTGAATTAAATTAAACAAAGGTGCAGCATCCTCCTGGGGTTACCACAGGGCACCCCACTTCTGAACATGCCTCTGCAAGTCTCTTCATTGCCCATCCACCAACTGAAGCCCCAGATTTTAACTATCTGGGGTACTGACAGAGGGTGCCTCAGCTTGCAGCTTCCTGTCATGCATGAAAACCCCACTCATGTCATTGGAGCTGGTCAAAGAACCAGCACCTGTAGACTCCTCCTTGGGGCTGCTCACCTATTTATTTTGATCTATACGTGGCAGCTTTGTGGTGGGAACTACCTACAGATAGCATCAGGGAATTGTCATCTCAGATGTACCTCCAAAAGTGACTTTTATTTTTTTCCCCAGTCAGAAATGCTATCCAACCTTTTCTCCTCTGCCAGTTGCTACAGGTAGCAGCACAGAACCTGTTTTTGTGGTAGAAAAGTGAAGAACTGTGTCAGAAAAATGTAACAAATATAAATAGTTTTCCCAAGCCACTATAAATGCACAGGCAGTGCCTTGCTAGGGTGACTTGTGTTTCTGTGTTTATTAGCTTTACTTTGAAATTACCCTCTAAATAACTTGCTTAAAGAGCAGTCAAGCTGTCCTTAGCTCACCTTTGTAAAGCACAGGTCTATTATTATCCCCGTTTTACAAGTGGAAAACTGAATCACGGGGAAACAAGGTGGCTTGCCCATGGTCAGACAGCAAACCTGCCGTGTATGCCTGCCTTTCTGAGCTCAGCACTATGCCCAGACCACTAGTCTTCACAGAGCTATAGAATCATAGAATCATTAAGGTTGGCAAAGACCTCTGAGATCCCCCAGCACAACCACCAGCCCACCCCCCCCACACCCACTGCCCACATCCCTCAGTGCCACATCCACACGGCTCCTGAACACCTCAGGGACGGTGACTGCACCACCTCCATGGGCAGCCTGTGCCACTGCATCACTGCTCTTGCTCAGAAGAAATTCTTAATACCCAACCTGAACCTCCCCTGTTGCAACCTGAGGCCATTCCCTCTCATCCTATCACTGTTACCTGGGAGAAGAGGACAACTCCCAGCTCACCACAACTTCCTCTCAGGTGGTTGTAGAGACTGAGGTCTCCCCTGAGCCTCCTCCTTTCCAGACTGATCAACACCAGTTCCCTCAGCTGCTGTGCACCCCAGTGACAGCACTCCCAACACCAGGCAGGGTAAAGGGGAGAGCTGGTGACATTTTTGCCTCTCTCTCCCTCAGGGAAGCAGAGTTTGAGCCTTTGCTTACAATAAACAGGATATCCAGCCTTTTTGGCTAAATTAAAGCATTGGGTGTTTCTTGACTTTTTTCTTCCTCCTTATCCCTTTCAAATACTGCCTCAGTGAGGTCACGCAGATTTTTTCTGTGCACAGAATATTAAACAAGGAGCGTAAAGAAAACATTAGTTTTTCTGATACTTCTACAGTAACACAACATTAAAGTGTTTTCCCTCTTTATATGAAGGAAACTTGGTTTTATAGACTTCAAGAGGCAGCGGAGTGCTCAGCTTGGACAGCAGCCACCAGCTCGGAGTGTTGGATGTGGAAGCAACCAGAATTATGTGTCTCGGCAGCCCTCATCCCACACACATCCAGGGGAGGTGTGAGGCCTCCCATGCTCCCGCTCTGCCCACTGCAGCTACCAAAATCCCAGTGGGTGCCCAGCAGGAGGCAGCCGCGATGAATTTGAGCAGAGCCCTTTGTCCCCAGAGGGAGCAGAACACCTCTCTTCCCTCTGCATCTCTTTTCCCCCGGATGGAAGAGGGGGCTTCTCACTCCCTGTGCACCCCAATAAGTGGAAATACACAAGAAAACAGTGTCTGTTCAGGCTTTGCCGAAGCAGGGAGATCCAATCAGACTCAATGCTTTGGTTTAATGACATCTCACCACTTTGGAACTGCACTGGAAGTAGATCCAAGCATCTTCACTTTACAGGACTGCTTGTGTGAATGGCTTTAGTTTGGCTCCAGCTCTATCTGGGTAGAAAATAAGCCATGTTGCATTGTGCCCAGCTAATAAATTGGGAAACATTGTATTTTACCATGGAGTTGAAATATATCTAATTATTCTGTATGCAGCGAAGAATGAGAAGAAACCATATTCTTTCGCATCATTCTAGAATGAGAGCACATGCTTTTCAGTGCGAAAAATATATAGTCTTGTAAACAAAAATTAATTGAAGTATTTCTACATTATCATGATGCAATGCAAAAGCTTGAAAATCAGCTGTTCTGCTTGCAAAATAAATGATTTTTTTTTTTTTTTGCTAAAAATGGAAATAGTGCCTAAGCGAATAATATTTTTCTATGTGTCCTATAAAATAATTTACATTTTTTTTTCCTCTAAATTTGTATCTAACTGCTGTTACACAGCAGCCTAGGGGGTTCTAGAAGATGA